CTCGAAATACCCGGTGAATCCTTGCCGCGATGACCTGGAAGGATGTGTGTTCACCACAGCATATAAATAGTGCGTGCCTGGCCTTGGAGAAAAGGCAGACTATGAATAAATACTAGTTTGACTTGCAATTATCCACAGCAAAATGTGAGGTATTAGTAGCCCTGTTAGTTTAGGCCAACTTATTTTTCAATGATGTTATCGAGACATTGTTACTGAACAGAGGGCAACTTTTGCATCGGTGAAAGCATATAAATAGTTTCCATTCCACACACAGGAACAAAGCAGCTTCTTCTAGCCCATTAGCGTCAATTATCCTTTACATAAAAAAATTGCGTTTTGAAAATATATACTTTTTTATACATTCTTTGTAAGCCCACTAATTTTAGCTGCTATTTCTTTGCTCGATGATTCTTTATGGTGCCCTCACAGACATGGGCCATGCCATTGCCCTGCCAATAACGTATATAGCAAGAATAAAATGTTTATTTCTACTGCCTTTTTTCGTTCACATCAAGGGCTCCACTACATGGCGTATCATGGATCCCAACAATATTCCGTTTACGCGTCAATGCAGCACCTCAATGTCATTTTCCCGAAGGTGGACCTGGGTCGCCAGGAGCTGCGTTTGCTCCGTCGCCTGTGCGCCCAGCTGCATTAGTGCTGCTTCCCTGGTTGCAGGGCAATGGGCTGCCACAGGATGGCAATATATCACCTTGGTTTGGCCATCGATTTGGGCGGTTAACCGGTTGGCTCTTAGTAGGTCAAAGACATGCTGCTCCACTTCATCACTGGTCATTTCAAATGCCGTGGCCATTTGGTGTATATCAACCACGCTATAGGGACGTATGTATGCCAAAAGCATGGTCATTTGAATTTTTTCCTGCAACAATGGTGCCGCCTCGGCTAAGAACATATCCTGCGCCAGCGTACGCGATATCATGTCAAGGTAGCCACGGGCCTTGTTAAATTGTGAGCGGTGAAAAGCCGTGGCCAGAGGTCGGGCCAGTGGACTGGTCTCTAAGTACAACTTGAAGCGAGGGTTTTGGTGCAGTAATGCCTGGGTGTAGGAGCGAGGGTGGTCAGCCAGTGCACACAGAACAGCTAGCGTGGCTACGTCCGTGGTGGACAGAATCTGTGGGGAAAATTGCTCTGGGTCTTGGGGAAGCTGCGCCAAATGATCCACCGCCTCCGCATAACTACCTTGGCGAATGTGCAACAGTGCCTGAATACATAGCACTTGCTCTTGGAGTGCAGGCGTCAATTTGTTTTTAAATGTGTAGGTGTTCAGTCGCTGCAGGTAGGTGGTGACGAGGGGCCATTGTTTGGTCAGCAAGCCCAGGGTCATGAGCCGCACAAATAAGTCCATATACTGGGATGGGTGGGCACAGTACTCGCGAGCGCGCAGGTAACACTTGGTTGCAGCGTTGGTGTCACCCGTTTGCAAGTAGAATTCGCCAAGCGCTAGATACCCAAGGCGAACGCTATCCTTGAGCAGGTGATTGCGATGGCTCTTGAGTTCGGATTCGAGCTGCTCCAATGTTTCGCGATTGTGCTGCTGGGTCTGCTCCACCCAGGCATGGTCCATGGGCGGAATCGAGGCAGCCCAGGCGTCGTTGGTGTAGCTGTCAGACAGCAACTGGTACACTTGAGTGTACAGGGCAACATTAGTGGTGTTCTGGCGTAGCTCGTGGGCCAAGCTATGGAATGCTGAACCTCGCAACTCGGGGAGCTCGTTGGCAATAAAGAGAAGTCGGGCCAGGCGCATGGGTCCTACCCCAATATTTCGTTCATTTTAATTATTGGAAAGAACCATCGCATGGCCATATTTTCTTTCTAAGCACGGAGGTTAGGTTTGGCTAGTGGACAGGGCAGCGCAACCATGGAACTTGATGGTGCCTGATGTGATACCAGAGGCATTGCAGCGATCCTTGGTATCTGCATTCACGCACAGGTGGGGCGCAAGCGTAGATACTTGGGGAGCATTTATCCACAATTGCTCGCAACTTACCAGCGTAGCCCTGGGCGTAGACGCCAACGTCTGTTTCCTGGCTGACCTGTGCAGGGAGATCCAGGGAGGCCATTTTCAGTTTCTTGTGCAGCGGGGTGTCAACCATGGGACAATGCGAGCCAACGAGCTACGAATAGCATGAAGGCGCGGAACCGACAACCAAACTAGTAAATAGCGGAAAAACGGATGGTAAACGTGCAAGTAGTTGCTGGAGTAGAATGCAATTTGGCCCTCTCGTAGTCCAAGGCCAGGCGCCCTGGATGGAAATAGCAACAAGTGTCCAGCAAGGCGAAATGGCTAGTTCGAAGACGGTACGGGGGAAGTTGCTATTCTGAGGTCTTGACGCTGTGCCGCATTGCCCGGTGCCAGTCCCACGCGCGGCGCAATATTGGGTGTGCGTCAGCTCTGCGCCATCAGGTGGGCGACACAAGGTACGCATCCATCAACCGCCGTGCATTCATTTCTGCACTGTTTCCTTCCTTGTTGGTTCTCGTGTCGCTCACTAGTCTGGCCTGGTTCACCCCATCGGCCCCACACCACTAGCTTTTCTTTTATATTCGTTGGCAGGGGATTCTTTTACCTGCATACCTTTTTGCCGTTGCCACGCATCTCACCCGCTGTGCCACAGCCCACGCGTATTTTCGTGGCCAAGGAATTCGAGCCATCAAGTCATTGCCCTTTTTTCCGACTCCCCATTGGCCGTGTCTCATTCCACGGCCACCTTCAAGCCATGTCGAGTGTCAAAGGTAAGGCTTGAAAGCGTCTTGCCCAGGTTCAGTTTTGGCAAGGCGAGTTCTGTAGTATTCCTATCTTGGAGAATCCGTGGTTAGGTGGGCACCACGGCCTATACTATGGCCAACGCTTGACCGTGCCTAGGATCATTGCCGTGTACTAACTGTAACACGCTCCACGTCATGGCCTGCGAATATAAACCTGCGCTCTGTGGGTGGGTGGATGGAATGGAATTGTATATCATGGTGAAACCTGCGGCCCACCTGCGCCACGGCCAACTCATTCTTCAGTGTAAGTATGATCAATACTTTAATAGAATCACACGCAAACAGCTATGGGAATATCAGTGTCTACCGCTCAGGAATTATTTGATGCGAATACCCAGCCTAACCAAGCAATCGCTTCTGGCTTTTCTCGATATTGGGCGGGGAAACTGGCGATGGTGGGCCTGAATCCAGTATTGTAGCGCTGGCGCTTTGCTTAGCGCTCGGCTTCCTATTAGCCATCTTGTCATGTGCACTATATGGGTAAGTGCAATTAGCCCGACTTTCCGCAGGCATTTGGCACGAGTAATACGTAAGAACAGACAAAAACACTGCCACTCTGCAGGTGAACGTGGTTATCATGGCAACTTTAGCTTTGCCGACCTTGGCATTGCGTGCTCACCGCCCTCGGTTTGACACCACGGTTTTGGTGCGCCTAAATGAATTTGGACTGCTTGCTCCATGGCCATCGACACATTCCATAGCAACTGGTGGCCCCTCTTTGTCGGTAAGTGCGAATTATCCTTGCCTCAAGCATTACCTACACTGTTCATTTTAGGTCCCTTTCCAGTTACCTATGTGAGTGGATTAGGGCTACCATACGCTTGTAGCCGTGTAGGTGGTTGGATGTGATCCAAGGCAATCTAATGCATCTGAAAGCTGGGCAGCGATGCCATCATGGACCGTTTATGTGGCTGGTGGCCATGGCCCCTATTGTTCCTTGTGCAGTATTTACCTACTGTGTGGCGCCGTTACCCAATGCTATATGCGGACGCTTTGCGTCCAATGATCCGCTGGCTGAGTCCCACTCGTAAGTCAACCACGTAATTAAGCACCCAGGTGGTGGCAAGCGTTGCTTTGGTTGCTCATTGAGGGGTTTCACCGCTGCCTTTTCGCATTAGCAGGTTTCTGTTTGCCATTATCATCCCTAGGTCTGACCCATCTCTGCTTGCGCTTACTGAACCTGGGCGCCATGATTGGGCTTACCGTGGCATCACACTACAGAGTCATCGAGGATACGGGTCGATTTATTACGTCCATGTTTATTGTCAGTGGTTTTGGTAAGGCGTTTGCATGCTTAATGTTTTATCGAGTGCAGTGGCGCTCTCAGCTTCTCCATACATGAAATGCCAGATGGGCAAGGTACACGCTAGAATGCCCATTGGATTAATTGGATATCGGTTACCATGTGCTGCTGCGGTATGGCGGTACCTGTATGGCAACTTGTGTCGATACCCCCATTTGGCTGCGCAATAGGTTTACCAATGGTTTTAGCCCACGCCGAGGTGGTAAGTACTAGTACACTCCTTTCGCCAATGGCTTTAATGTTTAGGCCATCCTAAATCAATGATATTGCACTCAATGCGCAAACCTAAAGTAATTACACCCAATGCCTGGTTCCCTGGGGTTGTTGTGGGCAGATTACGATGTCAGCGATGATTATGAGCGTATGCGGTGGGCTGTTGGTGTACGGTAGCATTATTACGTACCTGTATATATTTGCAAACCGCGAGGAGTTCTAGATTGTTTTAGCGCTGCACTCTGGGGTGGCATTCGTGTGTGGTGTTATTGATGATGGCAGACTGGTTCAACATCTAAAACTCAGTACCATGTGGACTTGCCGTGCTAGCTTGGTTAGGCAAAGCACTGATTGGCATTGACCATGTAGTCCAAGGGTATGATGCTTTTTTGTCACATTTTAGCTTGCCAATGATTTTCCTGATGATAAACAACAATATAGCGGTAGCAATGCGCACTTTTCTTATTCTGACTCTGGCACAATAACCTACTATCGGTTTCTGCATTGTGTAAAATGTCGTCGAATGCATAGTGGCAAGACATGGAACTAGGACAAAGTATTTCTAATTTGGTTCAGATGCCTGTCTGCAGAAATGCAAATGATTCTATTTTTCTGAAATGACTAAAGGAGGTTTAAATTTTTTCAGGCTGGGTCTTGAAAAAAATTTAGACACAACCTAAAAATTTTAATAAAGAAATAGCGAAGCCACGTTTCGATCGTGGGACCTCAGGGTTATGAGCCCTGCGCGCTTCCTCTGCGCCACCCCGCTACATCGGGAAAATCTTTATTTTATGTCCTATCCGCTAATAAATAAATTCAGTTTACATGCTACTGTTTTTATTTGTCGATATTTGGTCAATTTTTTTCCATTGCCAGGGTATACTATTTTGTCATCATTACCCTATTGACTGGTCCCTACTAGTCGGCCTTGCCTTTGGTCGAAATCGCCTTTTGCTGCAGCTCACTAGCAGCCCTATTCAGG